GGTGGTGGTGGTGCTGGTGGTGATGAGATGATATTGATGCTGGTGATTTATAAGATGATACTATAATCATGATGTCTTATCGCATCATCACTGAGGGTCCCGACCCTCCGTAGTGCGCCCCGGCCCACTAGACCTCAGAACATCGACTTATAGGGTTAAGGCTTGCGCGATCGGGTTTAGGATTTGCGGTACTTAGGAGCTGAGGTCATGAGTTGGTCTAGCTAGCACTACTGATGCGACTGGCCAGGGTAGCATACAGGTACCCCCAATTGCACCATCTTCCAGCCTTGAATTTTAAGTCATAAGAGGTCATCATGTTATTGCATAAGTACCCCCAGGCAAATTCGTGTGTATTGTAGGAGCCCCAAGTTCCAGTATACTGAGTACTCCGAGACATTCTATGTACGATCGGTGTCACCCAACCCTAGAACCTGTAAACCCGAAGCTCAATATACCCCTTGGGCCTAAGGAATATATGATTCCCAGGCGGGCACACAGTTTGGGGTTCATCTCTATGGGTTTTTTGGTCGTACTGCTGTGGGATTCGGGTCCCGTAGCGTTAGTCCTGGGGCCTCTACGCACAGGAACCATGCGCTCTATAAGAAAAGGGCTGCGGGGGGGGGGCACCCGGAACCGTAGACCTAGGCCGTGGAACCGTAGAATAGGCCCTGGAACCGTAGAAAAGGCCACTGGAACCGTAGAATTGGCCCTGGAACCGTAGACCCGGATTTGCCCAATTCGGGGTGGAAATTCTGAGTGAATTTCGTGCAGGAGCAGTATGTCCAAGCGCGGGAATGGTGCTGGCTGCACCGATGCTTCTACGAACACCACAGCTGCAGCAGACTTTCTTGCAAAGGCCAAGCAGCGTACTGCACTTTTGAAAGCAACGAAGCGGCAAGCCCCGGCAACACCAGCAGATGCCAGCAAAGCCAACAACGAAAGCAAAAAAAGCCCACCCACGAGCACTCCAGCCCCCAGCCGAGCCGACTCTGGAGTGTCTTTGTCTGTTAAATCGCAGCTGTACTGCATTATATGCAAGCATGATCGTGCTATATGTCTGCCATCCTAGCTTGTGTCTCTGTGTGTGTGTGTGTGTTGTGTGTGTGTGTGCGTGTGTGCATGGTGTGCATGTGTGCACGCATGTATATCTGAGGACGCCTGTGAAGTCCCCGGACATGAAGAAAAGCCGGGTTTCAGTGCCGGAGCCGAAACGACGTGTCTCCGGAAAATCCCCGGCGCCCCCGGTCCAGTCGGACAACAGGACGCTTGACCATGTGTGCCTAAATTTAAAGCTTAAACTGCCAATGACCCCCCTAATACCCTATTTTGTAGAAGCCCGGGCCCCATGTATATACAATCCCAGGGCACCGACTGATCATGATCCCGATAATCGTCGCCGGCCTGGAGGGATACACAATTCAGTTTCATCATCGTATTCCAAAAGGTAACCATGAAGCGAGGCCTGGAAAACCTATGTAGCTAGATAGGGTGTATAAAATAGGGTTTAGGGGTTCAGGGTTCAGGTCTTGGCTTTAGGGCTTAAGCCTACCCTACCTAGCGACACCTCGGGTTCCTTACGCACTCAATGCAAGCCTGAAACCCGAAACCCTAAACCCCTAGGCCCAAATCAGTGGCAATTCAGGAATCTCGAGGTTCAGGGTTTGATTGAGGGCCACGGTTCAGGCTTTAGGGTTTAGGGGTTTCTGGGCTTAGGCTCTAGGGTTTTGGGGTTCAGGGTCTAGGATTTTAGGTTTTAGGGTTGAGGTAATAATATTTTGGAGGCTATCCATTGCTGTTATGGGCTTTCTAGGGGAAGGTTTGGGCTTTGGGGGCTAAGGTTTGGGTTTTCACTATGAGGGTCCATGAGCCTTAAGTAGGTATCTAGGAGATTGGTCTAGGCCCTGGGGTTCAACTGAGGTTCCAGAGTTGGTTTTTTTTGGCGCCAAACCCAGCCCCAAAAACCCTGAACCCTAAACCCTGAACCCTAAACCCAGGGATGTTGAGCTTCAAGGGTTTAGGGTGAGGGGTCTGCTTTCCGGTTCTTGAAAATGCTTTCTACTACTACTACTACTGCTACTACTACTACTACTACTACCACTACGACTACTACTACTACTACTACTAGTAGTAGAACTACTAGTAGAACTACTAGTATACTACTACTAGTACTACTACTACTACTACTACTACTACTACTGCTACTACTACTACTACTACTACGAGTAGTACTAGTACTATTTCTTCTTCTACTACTAATAATAATAATACTCTACTAGTACTGCTACTACTGCTGCTGCTGCTGCTGCTGCTACCACTACTACTAGTACTCCTACTACTACTGCTACTACTACTCCTACTACTTCGTACTATATTACTAGTACTAGTACTAGGTACTAGTACTAGTACTAGTACTAGTACTAGTACTAGTACTAGTACTAGTACTAGTACAAGTACTAGTACTACTAGTACTAGTACTAGTACTAGTACTACTACTACTACGACTACTACTACTACTACTACTACGACTACGACTACTACTACTACTACTACTAGTATATACTTCTATTTCGCAGGATTGCCCGGAAGCCGCACATTCCCGGGACGCCGGAGCGTGTGCCGAGAAGGAGTTCCCTCTACGCGGCCCTATATAATATAAGTATATATATAATATATTTTATTATATATATATATACATGCCCCTAAACCCTAAAAGCTAGAGGTATCCGATCGCTCGCTCGCACCATAAGGCTGGAGCTATGCTGACACGGGGTCGCAGCCACCGCCTTGCGGGACCCCATCTTCGCGATGCAAGGGCACACCAGCAAAGTCGCCGGAACCGATGTCTGTGGAGAAGTTGCACGATGCAGCCGAGTATGGGACCCAGCCATGGCAGGAGCCCTGGTCTTGGTCGGGGTGGAGCGATGCATCTTGGGGCTGGGGCAGCTCCAGCTGGTGGAAGCATGACTACGGTTACGGCTATGGCATGGCGGCTGCATGGTACAGCGGAGGGGACACATGGGGCCGCGGATGGAGTCATGACAGTCAGACCTCGGAACCAGGCCCCTCGGAAGAGTTCGACCCCGCTAATTTGAAGGAGCTACTTAGACGACCGGTTACAACGGAGGAGGAGCTGGATAAAGAGGCGGAAAATATCCAGCCGGACGAGTGCAAGAAGGACCTTGACAAGGAGCTCCGAAACCTCGACACGCAGTCGACCTTGCCGTTGCCAGGGGGCCGCACCCAGAGCACTCTGGAGCTGGACAAGGCGCGGCTGGGGGTCGGTTCTGTAGCCATTTCCTTTAGGAGGCTTCGTAGCTACCTAGTGCTATATAGATGAACTACCACCCTAGCTAGCTATATATATGCCACGATCACAATATCACTGCAACCCATGGGCCAGTTTAATCCCATCCTCAGGACCCCTCGGATCCAGCTGCGACTCCGGATGAGCAGGCCTGTTTCTAAATTAGACCTATATAATATCTTATAATTATCTACAATTTAAACGGTATAGCTTAAATCCTGAAGCCCCCTGCACACACACCTACACCATGTACTAGCATAGACCTACATAATATTAATTAACATATTATAATAATAATGATAATAATAATAATATATATATTATAATATAATAGTAATCCCCTATAAACCCTGTGGCCGCCCTGGAAGTAGCTAGCTGCAGGTGTATATATATATATATATGCCTATATATATATATAGGCCTATAGGCATGACCCAGAGCATCGATCCCAGGCAACGATTCCCCTACAGACACAGCAGCAGTGGGAATCGCTGGCGACGATTGCAGAGACACAGTCCCTGGAGACGCAGCAGGCAGCGATTCCAGTGGAGACACAGCAAGTGCAGCCATCGATTCCCCTGGAGACGCAGCAGCAGGGCTTGCAGGCAGGAATTCCCGTGGAGACACAGGGCTTGCAGGCAGCGATTCCCGTGGAGACGCAGCGAGTGCAGGCAGCAGCGGAGGAGACGCAGCAGCCTGTGCAGGCAGCGATTCCCGTGGAGACGCAGGGTGTGCAGGCAGCGATTCCCATGGAGACGCAGGCAGCGATTCCTATGGAGACGCAGCAAGCGCAGGCAGCGATTCCCCTGGAGAGTGCACAGCAGCAGGCAGCGATTCCCATGGAGACGCAGCAAGTGCAGGCAGCGATTCCCGTGGAGACACAGCAGGGCGTGCAGGCAGCGATTCCCGTGGAGACGAGAGTGCAGGCAGCGATTCCCATGGAGACGCAGGTGCAGGCAGCGATTCCGCAGCAGCGTGTGCAGGCAGCAGATCCGCCCAAGCAGCAGATGGACAGCGTGGTCAGGGAGCTGGAATACCATCTCAATAACGCAGCTACGCCCCAGAAGAGCATGAAGCCTCCGCCGTCGGCTACGAAGGGGGCCAGTCCGTGCAAGCCGAGTCCCGTGGGTTCCGAAGACGCGTGGCGGTTGGACAAGCATGGCCAGGTACTATCTCCCGCAGCTTTGTTTTCCAGATTTTACCGCTCGATTCGAAGCAGGGTCCCCAGATACTAGATCTAGCAGCAGCAGCAGCAGCAGCAGCTAGGGTCATTAGACATATCCCCATAGGTCCGAAGGCACCAGATGCTGTGAAGGAGGAGTTCAAGAAAGCGGACAACAGCCTTTCAGATCATTTAATTATTATGGGTACCCCTAATTAAGCCCTAAACCCCTAAACCCTAAACCCTAAATTTCACCTTAACCCTAAACCCCTAAACCCTAAACCCTATTATAGACTGCAGGGTTCGAACCGAAGCTCAATATTAATATTTCCTGATATATATATATATATTTATTTATTTATTTATTTATGTATTTATATTTTATAACATTTATATTATAAGACTAGCCGCTATATAGTCCTTAAACCCTAAACCTGAGACCCCTAAACCCTGCACCCCTAAACCCTAAACCCGGGCCCCCCTCAAACCGAAACCCCCTAAACCCCAAAAATCCCTAAGAAGTAGACCTAAGGCTCGAACCGGACCCAGAAATTCCATGATATGTACCTCCAGTTCATCAGCGCCAAGGGCAACTGGTCCGATTCCACCATAGTCCTGCGAGCCAGGCACAACCGGCTGGGCGAATCGGGTATATTATATAATTAAGTTTATATTATAATATATAATAATATAAATCTATAGCGCTAGCGCTAATAATAGTTATATATATATTTAATATTATAATATATTATATATATATATATTATATATATATATATATCGTACTGATCAGGAAAAGCCACAAGGAAGTGAAGGACGTTGTCTACCTTTTCAAGACGTACAGGGATCTGGTGCAAGAGCTAGGCCAAGACATGGCCGATGACCTGGCCAAACGTGCCCGGGAAGCAGATCCTACGTTCAGTGGCAAATCCTGCCGTCTTCATCCGCAGTTTCCGAAGCGCGAGGAGGGTGTTACACGTCTGGGTGTACGGTTATTTATCGTTGAGTTTAGGGTTTAGGGTTTAGAGTTTAAGTAAAATTGTATACAATCCCGATACCTGTCAGGACATGCAGCTCTTCAAATCCTTTGCCTACATCCAAGACAAGAAGCGAGACGAGAAGGAAACATCGGCTGAGGTCGATATGAGGGCCGAGAATGTCGATGAAGATGACATGATGAATGCAATGCAATTTGCAAGCACTCAGCTATACCATAAATTCTACGATGTATTTTTTATATTTTTTTAATAATAGAATATTATTAAATTTCGTAGTATAGCTAGCTACAGTAAAGCTGCAAAACCTGTGCTAAGGGAGGATGCCCTGCCGAGCGACGATGGGGGGCTCGATGATGGCGATAAGCCGCTGCCGAAGCCCAAAGAAAAGATTAAGCAGCCCAAAAAGGAGAAGACTTGGCGAGACAAGGGCGCTGCCGTGCCTAGATCATTTAATTATGTACCGGTGTATACCGTCGTATGAATTCAGTATCCGCTGCAAGCCCTATGCAACCCTAAACCCTATTAAGCCTCTGAGCTGCAGCCCAAACCCGAAACCTAATTCCAAAGCACCGTGCATTCAGCCCATGACCCTCAATCCTAGGCCTCCTAGAAGGTTCATTGAATGAGCCAGCTGAAATCCCGAGACGCAGCCCAAACCCGAAAGACCCTGCTGCTGGCCTGCTGAGTCGTAAACACTCAAACCCTCAAACCCTGAAGCCCTGAAACCCAAACCCCTAAGCCCCTAAGCTCCTAAACCATATCACCCCGAACCCTAAAACCCAAAGCTCCTAAACCCCTAAGCCCCTAAACCCCTAACACCCCAAACCCTAAAACCCTGAACCCTGAAACCCAAAGCCCTTAAACCCCATGATATAACAGCCCAAATCCCCAAAACCCTTGGATTCCTTCGAGGCGGACAAGAAGGCCAACCAGGACCTGGTGGAGTATCAGGGGTTTGCAAAGGCGCTGGATGACGTCAAGATGTTGCTCGCCTACGTTTTACATGCATAGATCGATCGATAGGATCCACACTCGTATACGACCATTCTATATAGATTATATAATGAGGGGTATTTAGTCCACTTAAAATCTTTTCGGCTGGGTGCACCTGGAACCCCGAACTTCTCAAGGGATCGGAGGTGTATGATTTAATTCTGGATCTGGAACATGCCAGTCATTGCAGGCTGCTCTGTGCAAGGGAAAATTTTGGATCCTTGGGCTTTGAGTTTCGAGTTTTCACAGGGTTTGGGGATTCAGGTTTAACGGGTGCCAACCATGCATAATGTGAAAAATATTCATATTATTATATATATAATATATTTATAATATAATAAAGCTAGCTATATAATATTAAACCCTAAACCCCTAAACCCTAAACCTAGCTATATCGTACATGTACGTACAACCCAAAAACGTGATCCCGAGCATGGATCCCAAAGCAACTGCAATAAAGCCCTGGAATTCCCGAACCCAAAACTCCAATAAAGTACAGGTTTATTGGTTTTGGCCTTTGGGATTTAGGGGCTAGAGCGTCACAAAAATAATGTCGGTAGCAGGGCCTAGCTAGGGCTCAGAGGGTTTAGGGTTTCATGCGCTTCAGGATTTGGCCTGGCATTACTCGCACAATGAACGGCTCTGAACCTATAGGCCTAGGCCTCAAGCTTAAAATTTAAAGCCCTCTCAAGAAGCGTAGAATCCACCCTAAAATCGCATGTGATCTCAGGGCTCCCAACATGAAGAAAGCGATCCTCGCCGACATTGTGCCTGCCGCAAATGATCTGCGGAAATGCAAGGACGTTGTGGCAAGGGGCATTGGGACGAAAATGTCCGAGGTGGAGATGAAGCCTCTCGTAGAGGTGCACGGGTTGCATTGTTCCAGTACTATGTACCCCTATAGGCTAGCCCTAAGACCCCTAGCGTACAACCCTGAGGCCTTACCCGTTAATGCTGCTTTGCGAGGCTTTGCTTGCTGCCCTCGACGACGTCAAGACTGTCTCGGAGCCTGTCCGAAGTGCTGAGCGGAAATCCTCGAAGGAAGCAAAACCGAAAACCAGTGCTAAGAAAGCTGCGAAGAAGAAGGAGCAGTAGCGAGAATCCCAGCGAGGGAACCGGGGAACATTTAAAGCAAATGTTCGATTTTTGACTGCTGCTGTACATGTGGTGTGCTGTTGTGCATATCCTTCCTGCTTAGCTATGCCAAAGGGGTAGCTACTGTAGTCCGAGATCCTGTAATTCTCTAGCTACATGACCTCGCCGGGCCTTCAGCTTCAATGCTCTACGTAAGCTCACAAGAACCCCCGAGCTTAGAGGCAGGAGGGCGTACGATTGGTGACCATACATGTCATCATGCTGCAACCTATGGGTCTAGATGTTCGCCGCGCGTGATATGTCATGTGCGACCGAACCGAACGAAAGCTTGTCCTGCCTCCTGGGATCCGGCGCAGAAAATGGCCACATACCCGCGAGCGCCTCATGATCCATATGTTGCAATGCAATATGAACGAATTTTATCTATCGTACTATTGGGGTTCCCTTGCGCAGGGGCGAAGCGCAAACGAGTCGATGATGACGTCGGTGATTCTGCAGAACATGACGTCGGTGATTCATCAGAACAACATTCGCTGGCAGTTCACATGTTTCTGGGATCAATATTTACGGCTTTAGGGTTTAGGGTTTAGGGTTTAGGGGTTTAGGGTTTTGGGCCTAGACGTATATATATTTAGGGCTAGTTGCTGCGGTTCCGAGGCTGAAATCTTTGGGCGAGGGGAAGGACAACTCCAAGGGGGTTATCGCCAGCGCAGCCGCTGCTGTCCAGGACTCTACCGCCCTCATAGTCCCGACTGGCTCCCACCCCGTAATCCCTTCTTTAAACCCTGAACCCTAAACCCTCAACCCTGAACCCTAAACCCCTAAACCCTATACCCCCGACCCTAAACCCCTAAATCCCTAAACCCCTAAACCCTAAACCCTGAACCCTAAACCCCTAAACCCTAACCCCCCAACCCTAAACCCTAAACCCCTAAACCCTGCACCCAGGTATAACCCGAAACCCTAACTCTGACCGGACACTGCTATGTACAGAAAACACTAAACCCCAAACCCTAATCCCTGACCCAGACTCGAATTTTAAACCCTACTACTTCCTATATATATATATATAGCTATAATTAATTAAGTAATTTTATAAAAGTAAAGCAGGAGTGTGGAGCTGGGTCAACAGGTGGCATCACAAGAATGTTGGCAAGTTTTGCAAACGAACACCGGAATCATGATCGTGATCTCTTTAGATTCGTGAAGCTGCCCGTGGTAACTCGGAACTGAACTGGGAGCCCGAAATATTAATCTGCAGATCCCTCGGACAGGGCCGCGGCTGTGAGTTGCAGACGCTCTCCAGTGTCATCCTGCATGATCAGCACATGTACACGTACATGTATGTGCAAGTGCATCGTACACATACACAACGTACTGTGACTATGACTAGCTCCTATGCTAAGGCATTGGCTTGGATCAGTGTGCCGATGTTGGACCCCGAGAATGACAGCATGAGGGTGAAGAAGAAACTGCCCTTCATCGACCCGCATGAATATATGGAATTTCTTTGGCGATCCCAGCACATCAAGATCAGCGATGACAGTATACGGTCCCTCAGAAAAAATATTCGCTAGTGCACTACCGACAGCTACTCGACCCTTAAGCTTATAATCCCGATACTGCAGGGAATATTGGAATCACATGCGGAGATTGTCCGTGGATTGGGCAGTGCAGCATCCCGCCTCCAACGAGGCTGTGCCCGTCTCTGCCGACTGGCCTCGGATTCGTGGAGTTTATTTATAATATAAGTTTAGGCCTTATTATAGGGTTTAGGGTTTAGGGGTTTATAGGGTTTAGGGTTTATCTTCGTTCTCTTTAATTCTATAGCCTATAGTTTCCGAGGTTTATGGCGACGAAGCCGAGTTCTCATCTGAGGGGGATAAGTTTACCGCCTTGATGTTTTCCTTCCCCTTGCATAAAGTCAAAGGCCGGAGAGTGGTGATCCTGAGCGACGAGTGAGAGAGAGAGAGAGAGAG